ACGTACCACAACTTCTTTATCCATTTTTCGCTTTCTGGGATATTTAACTTGTACCGTAGACGAGGTTCTTGTAAACAGAGCCGTCTGTAAAACATTGCAGATTCAGTTGAAGCACCTTGGGTGGCTCTGCCCGACATCTTCCTTGCTTCAAGAGATGACAGCCTGTGGGGATCACCCCCCGTAGGGCCCTGTGTGCCCAGCTGCATGGGTTTTACTCTCCAGGTGATGGACGGTCAGCCTGAAGTGGGGGTTAAGGTCAACAAGCCCGAGTGGGAATTGTGACCCTGTCGTTACTTGGCTGGTGTGACCCCTTGGAGGTCACTCAGCCTCTTTGCTCCTGTTTCCTCATCTATAATACCAACAGAGCACTTCCTAGACTTGTTGAGAGAACTCAATGAGATAAGGTTTGGAAAGATTTCCTGGAACCCTAACAGCGTTCACTGAGCCACAATAATCCTCCCATTTGCTGTATTGTAATTGAAGGCATTCATCCAGGTGGGAGAGTCTCCCCGGGTACAGGGAGGAGAGAGGATTTGCAGCTCCAGGGGCGCACGGGCAGATCCTTTCCTGGCTGACTCGACAGAAGGTTCCAGGAAAGCCGGGAAGCATGGTGGGTGGTCGGGAACTCCCCAGCAGCTCAGCCTCCCAGGGAGCCAGAGGGAAACCGTGAACCACCACGCCTTTCCAGAGGCCAGGACTCCAGCTTTCCAGCTCACCATCGGCGTCCCCGCGGTGTAGCCTGGCCCCCGCCGCCCCAGCCCAGCAGCGGGAAGCAAGTCCGAGAGAGCCGGCAGCGGATCAGGGAGCTTAGGAATGTGGATCCTTCCCTCACTCTACGTGGCTCAAGGCAGGCTCTTCCTCTGATTCATCTTTGCCTCCTGCCCTGCCCCCTCCCCCCACTGCACCTGGCTCTCAGGAAGCCACGTGGCTTTGAGCACTCTCAGCCCAACAGGGGCTCGGGTTTCCCTTCCCAAAGACCCGTTAAGGTGGAGGCTCCCAGAATGGCACTTGCTGTTGGATGTGGGCCCCTCATGGCCCAGGATTACTTGTGCTTCTGAGATGCTCAGAGACCAGGGACCTGGGCATAGCGGGTTCCCTATGAACACAGTGTCCTATTCACGGATGAGGGCTCCGAGCACTCGCCCTCAGGGAGTTGGTTGAGATACAGGGACACAAAGGCAGTCAGTGGCAGAGCTGGGACCAGAGCCCCGTCTCAAGGGCTAGGGAAGGCCATTAAGCTCTGCAGTGGGGAGAGCACACATCAGCCGTACCCCAAGTCTTCAGCTCCGGGAGACAAAAAACTCAACATGGGGGACTCCAAAGGGAGAGCCCCTTTATAGGGAAAAATGAGATCTTTTGGTCTCTAAAGTGGACATGACTGATGTCACAGTTAGGAATGAATTCAGCTGCAGAAAAATAAAAAAACCTCACCAACAATGTTTTAAAGAAAGAGTTGTTTATTTTTCTCATAAAGAAGATGACAGGACTCTGGGTTCTTAGCTTTCCCCTCATGGTTTCAAGATGTTTGCAGGAGCCCCACACATCACATCACATCCTCACACCATGTTCAGAAGCAGGAAGCAGGTGGTGATATCAGGCAGCTTCTTCCCCCAGCTTCCCCCCTTATCAGCAAGCAAAGACTGTTTTCAAGAACCCAACAGCTGACCTCACATTATTGGCCAAAGAGGGGTTATAAAGTGCTCCCCAGAAAACCCAGACTGTGTATCTGGCTGTCCCAGGCTTTACAGTGAGAGGAGGACAAGGAAGAAAGGTTTGGGCAATGACTCTGGGTTAGGCAGCAAAAAGTACCTGCCACAGCTGACTAGCTCGAGGACTCCTGGTTTTGAGTAACTAGACTTAGGTGAAAAGTTCTTACGGTTTTCTGGTGGAAGGACCAGAGACTGACCTGCAAAGCTAAGGAAAAATCTTTCAGTTTGGACTAGAGAAGAGAGAATTTAAACCCTGTCCCTGAGTGAGACAGAAAACTTCCTGATGAGACATCACTTTCAGGTGGTGTTTCAGTTGCCAGTTTCTGTGTAACAAACCACCCCAAAATTTAGAGGTTTAAAAGGATAACTTTTTATTATCTCTCATGATCTGGGAGTTGACTGGGCCAGCAGGGCAGTTCTTACTCAGGGTCTCTTGACCTCACAGTGTGGGCTGGAGCCATCCGAAGTTGTCTTTACTTAAATGTCTGATTCCTGGGCTGGGATAGCTAAAAGAGCTAGAAGAATCATCTATATCCACAATAAGTAGTTAAGGGATACACAAAACAAAAAGGTGTAAAATATGATATCAAAAACATTAGGGACTTCGCTGGTGGCGCAGTGGTTAAGAATCCACCTGCCAATGCAGGGGACACGGGTTCAATCCCTGGTCCAGGAAGATCCCACATGCTGCGGAGCAACTAAGCCCGTGCGCCACAACTACTGAGCCTGTGCTCTAGAGCCCGTGAGCCACAGCTACTGACCCTGCGTGCCACAAGTACTGAAGCCCACGTGCCTAGAGCCCATGCTCCGCAACAAGAGAAGCCACCACAGTGAGAAGGCTGCTCACCGCAATGAGTAGCCCCCACTCATTGCAGCTAAAGAAAGCCCGCGTGCAGCAACAAAGACCCAATGCAGCCAAATATAAATACATTAGTTAATTAATTAATTTAAAAACAACAATAACAACCAAAAAAACCCATTAAGGGGTTTTAATGGGTTTAATGGGAGGTAGTGATAATGCAGGGTTGTTACAACGTGTTCAAACTTAAGAAACTATCAACTTAAAATAATCATGTACATATAGGTTTTTATATATAAACCTCATGGTAACCACAAACCAAAAAAAATCTATAATGATAATAGATATACAAAAAAGAGAAAGGAATCCAAACATAACACTAAAGATAGTTATCAAATCACAAGGGAAGAGAGCAAAAAAAGAAGGGAACAAAAAAGAACTTCAAAAACAACCAGAAGACAATTACCAAAATGGCCATAAGGACACACCAATCAATAATTACTGAAAGTGTAAATGGACTAAATCCTCCAATCAGAAGACACAGAGTGGCTGAAGCAACTGAAGTGCCCATCAATAGATGAATGGATAAAGAAGGTATACAATGGAATATTACTCATCCATAAAAATTAATGAAATCTTGGGGGAATTCCCTGGCGGTCCAGTGGTTAGGACTCTGTGCTCTCACTGCCAAGGGCCCAGGTTCCATCCCTGGTTGGGGAACAAAGATCCCACAAGCAGCATGGCGTGGTGGGAAAAAAAAACAAAACAATGAAATCTTGCCATTTGTGACAACATGGATGGACCTAGAGGGTGTTATGCTAAGTGAAATAAGTCAGACAGAGAAAAACAAAATACCATATGATTTCACTTATGTGTGGAATCCAATAAAAAACAAATGAACAAACATAACAAAACAGAAAGAGTCATAGATACAGAGGACAAACAGGTGGTTGCCAGAAGGGAGGGAGGTGAGGAAAGGTAAGAAATAGGTGAGGGAGAATAGAGATGTAAACTTCCAGGTGCAAAATAAATGAGTCACAGGTATGAAATGTACTGTGTGGGGAATAAAGTCAATAATTACGTAATATCTTTGTATGGTGACAGATGGTAACTAGACTTATCGTGGTGATCATTTTGAAATGTATAGAAATAGCAAATCACTATGTTGTGCTCCTGGAACTAACATAGTGTTGTAGGTCAATTATACGTCAGTAAAAAAAAAAAAAAAAAACTACATTAAAAAAGATTTGCAGAAACATGGGTGGACCTAGAGATTGTCATACTGAGTGAAGTGAGTTAGACAGAGAAAGACAAATGTCATATGACATCACTTATATGTGGAATCTAAAAAAAAAAGGCTACAAATGAACTTATCTACAAAACAGAAATAGGGTTACAGATGTAGACACTAAACTTATGGTTACCAGGGGGTAAGGAGGGGAGGGATAAATTGAGAGATTGAGATTGACATATACACACTACTTTATATAAAATAGGTAACCAATAAGGACCTGCTGTGTAGCACAGGGAACTCTACTCAGTACTCTGTAATGGCCTACATGGGAAAAGAATCTAAACAAGAGTGGATACATGTATGTGTATAACAGATTCACTTTGCTGTACACCTGAAACTAACACGACATTTTAAATCAACTATACTCTAATAAAAATTTTTAAAAAATTAAAAAAGCTGATACATCAGTATTTTTAAAATGTTGTTTCCACAAATACTATGAGTTATGTATGATTATCAAGGGGAAAAAACCATAGCAACTACCTGGTAATCATTTGTGCTTTTATGAAGGTAAATACCATCTGTGCACATTCTTAATATTTTTTCCTCAAACACCTTAATAAGCTGTACCATTGGCATACCATATGCCTCTCCTAGATGGTAATAACCGGATGAAAAGGAAAACCCAAACAGAGCTGACATGTATGCTAACAAGGCATCCTGAAATTGCATCTGTGCCACTGTGTGGACAATTCACCTTTACTCGGCAGCATTCCAGTTTGTTACGTTAGAACTCCATTGTAACCCAGTTTCTTACAATATGGGTTTAAGTATAACATTTATCACAACATGTGTGCCGAAACCTAACCACCAGAGACATTGTGAAGTTGAATACATGGTTATAGTATTAAAATTATATTGATTTTGTCCCCTAACACACATTTCATGAATTTCGGGGGTTATTTTTATACTAAAAAAGTGATCTATTTTGGAGAAATAAATAAGACAGCTGGAGAGCGTCTCTCTTTCCATGTGTTCTCTCTGCTTGACTAGCTTGGGCTTCCTCACAGCATGGTGGTCCTGGGATCGTCGAACTTCTTTCAAGGCAGCTGGCCCCACTCTAAACAAGTGTCCAAAGACAGGTTTCGGGACTTCCCTGGTGGTCCCGCGGGTAAGACTCCACAGTCCCAATGCAGGGGGCCCGGGTTCAATACCTGGTCGAGGAACTAGATCCTGCACGCATGCCGCAACTAAGAGTCCGCATGTCACAATGAAGATCCCGCGTGCCACAACTAAGACCCGGTGCAGCCAAAAAGAAAAAAAAAAGAGAAAATAGGTTCTATCAGAACCTGCAAGGCTTCTTACAGCCTTGCCCTAGAAGACCTAGAACACCCCTTCCACCTCAGATGGAAGAGCCACTCACACCCAAGATGGAAGAGGGGTCATTGAACTCCATCTCCTGACATGAGGCAGGGAAGGCTTGATGGCAGCCCTCGGAGATCGGGGGTCATAAGGTGATCTCAATGTGGCTACTCTTCAGTGGGGAAGGAGGGACAGTGAGGCCTTAGGCCAAGGCACGGAGAGGCCCTGCAGGGAAGGAGTGACATCAGAAGAGGAACTTGTGGGGTCCAGAGGGAGATGTTGGCGCTGAAATGCTGACCCAGCCCAAAGGGCTACCCCAAGGGTATGTCCCTGGACAACGGGTTCTGAGAGTCTCTGACGCTGTGAAACTACCAGCAAAGGAGGTGTGGCCAAATCTCCCCCCTGGAATCATGGGGGATAAGGAATTATGCTGTGGGAGGAGCCTAAAAACAGAGGTGATGAAGGGCCATTCGTGCCTGGGAAGGGAATGATTATTTGTGCTCAGAAGCTAAGTGCTTAGAGAACTAACTTATGGTTACAGGGGGAAGGGTGGGGGAGGGCACAGACTGGGAGTTTGGAATGTACACAGTGCTATATTTAAAATAGAAAACCAACAAGGACGTGCTCTACAGCACAGGGAACTCTGCTCAGTAGTCTGTAATAACCTAAATGGGAAAAGAACTTGAAAAAAAACAGATACATGTATATGTATAACTGAATCACTTTGCTGTACACCTGACACAACATTGTTAATCAACCATACTCCAACATAAAATAGAAATTTTAAAAGAAAAAGAATAAGAAGTTGAGCACCAAGGAACCCCTTGGGACATCACAGGCTCCTATCTCTCTTGGGGGTCTGCTCTTCTCTCCTACAGCCTGTGCACCAAATCCAGCCCTGGGCCTCTTTTTATACAACCCAGAACTGAGAATGATTTTAAAGGATTGCAAGAAAAGAGGAAGGAAGGGGTGAGGAATATGCCACAGGGATGCAAGTGGCCCTCAGAGTCTAAAATATTTCCCCTCTGGTCATTTACAGAAAAAGTTTGAGGACCCCTGCTTTAAACAAAGGGCGTGGCTCCCACTGGTGCCACGTGCACTGATTGTAGGTGAGATCTGAGCTGATTTTAGATGTCAGCAAGCACGTCATTCCCTTTTCAGCTCTCTCCCAATCCTGATTTCTTCCAGGGGCAAGTCTCAGTTGTGTGTGTGGGTATGTCTTGCAAGCACGACTAACATTTGAGAATCTCCTTTTCAAACAGAGAAAGGAGGCCACAGTATCCAGCTAGAATTGTTCAAAGTCCTCTGGTCAGCCCAGGAGTCCTGCATGGCCCAGCACCCCACCTCCACCCCCGGCTTGGCTTCCATGCTCAGCTCAGCCTGATGCTCAGCTCTCCTGAAATATACTGAACTCTTCAGTTTGCTACATACATGCTGTTCCACTTCAACCTTGGACCTCTGCATCTGTGTCTCCTCTTCTTAGAATACTTCATACCTGGCCTGCGCTGAGTAACTCCCACTCACCCTACAGGGCTCTATAGTACCATTGATTCCCATAGAACAATTTCAGTAATTTACAGACAGCCTATCTATCCACTGTCCCGCACCCACCTGTGTGGTTCAACAAATGAAACATTCTTTAACAAAATAGGAAAAGAAGTCATTTTAGGGAACATATAAATACAAAGAAAACAAAAAATAACCCTCATCTCCCAATCGCTGCTTCTCCATCCCTGGCCCTGGGCAGAGGGCTCTAACCAGTCCAATCTCAATTTTCCTTCACGGTGGGTGTGGCTTCCAGTGGACAGTGGTTCCACTCAGCTTCCCGGCCCCTGACCCAGGGGGAGAACCAGAGAAATGGGGTTGGGTCTGGAAGAGCCATCTGAAGCAGATGGCTGTAAATTCAACCCTGTGGCCCCGTCTATAACCAGGGCTAACCCTCCCTACCCCCCAACAGTTTCCCTCCATTAGAAGAGAACCTGGGACTTCCCTGGTGGTCCAGTGGGTAAGACTCCACCCTTCCCATGCAGGGGGCCTCGGTTCTATCCCTGGTTCGGGAACTAGATCCCGCATGCACGCCACATCTAAGAAGCCCACATGCCGCAACTAAGACCCAGCGCAGCCAAAAAAACAACTATAAAAAAATAAGAGAACCTGATTCTTGCTGGTGTTCTCTCCAAACCAGGGTCTCAGACACTGTGTGATCATTTCCCACTCTTACCCCTCAAAAGAGGCATCACCACACGGTGGTTGGATCACGGGCTCTTGAGTCAGACGTGCGTTCAAGTTTCCACTTACTACAAGACCTTGAGCAAGCTGCATAACCTGATGCCAAATGGGTTTATTGAGAAGAAGAACATGAGACAATGTATATACCGCACCTAGCACAGAATCAGGTACATGGGAAGCAAATGTCAGCCACTATCATCATTAACTTTTTAAGTTTTTATTTTAAAAAGTATCATTACAGTAAAATTGACTTATTTTGGTGTACGATTCTTTGAATTTTTGCACCTGTATAGACTCACATAACCGTCACCATAGTCAGATACACAACAGTTCCATTATCCAACCCTCCCGAAAACAGCCAAACCACTCTCCTGCTACCCAGTACCCTGCCCCACTCATAACCCCCTGACAACCAGTGACCTGTCCTCCCTCCTTGTAGTTCTATCCTCAACAATGTCCTATAAATGGAATCTCACAGTATATAAACATCTGAGACTGGCTTCCCTCGCTTGGCATAGACACCACTGCGACTCATCCAAGTTGTGTGTATCAATGGTTTCTTCCTTTTTATTGCCCAGGAGTATACACTTGCTGAAAATGGCTTTCTCTTTTTTCATCCCAACCGACTGTCCAAGTCAGATAAACACAAATAGACTCTATAGGTCTTGATCTAGGAGTCACACTTTCCCTGGGGAAGCTGGTAACCCCATATTTTGTCAGGTCCTCTTCCTATCAACCTCCCATAAGCCCTCCTGAAAGAAAGGCCCTGAGTCTAAATTTATGGCTTGAGGGAAAGAAAAATCTTTGGTCCCCTGGATGGTAGCAAATGGAAGACCCCAAAGGGTCTGTGGAATATCACTCTGAGCCTGGAGCCCCTTGTGCTCTGTGACCTACAATTTGCAGCCACCTGGCCAGGCACAGTCAGGCGGCCAGTGATCCTATTCCCCTCATACACAATTGCAGGGCAGAAAGGCTGGTGCCTGAGGGTGGGAAGAAGAATTCCAGAGACCAATGGGGAGACCGAGCAGAAGAGGCCGTTTGTGGCTGTGAATAACACCCTTCTTTGCACTATTTTGTTTCACCAGATTGGCTTAGAGGGACACCCCAACTGCTGCCTTCTCTGCTGTTCAAAATTATTATTGAGGGACTTCCCTGGTGGTCCAGTGGTTAAGAATCAGCCTTCCAATACAGGGGACGCAGGTTCCATCCCGGGTCGGGGAACTAATATCCCACATGCCGTGGGCAACTAAGTCCATGTGCCTCAACTACTGAGCCCACGCACTCTAGAACCCACACACCACAACTAGACAGAAGCCTGCGTGCCACAATGAAAGATTCCACATGCCGCAATGAAGGTAATGCGCGCCCCAACTAAGACCCGACGCAGCCAAATAATAAATATTCTTAAAAATTATTATTAAAGGGGGCTTCCCTGGTGGCGCAGTGGTTGAGAGTCCGCCTGCCGATGCAGGGGACACGGGTTCGTGCTGCGGAGCGGCTGGGCCCGTGAGCCATGGCCGCTGAGCCTGCGCGTCCGGAGCCTGTGCTCCGCAACGGGAGAGGCCACAACAGTGAGAGGCCCGCGTACCACCAAAAAAAAAAAAAAAAATTATTATTAAAGGGCACATCTTTTCTTAGCGCCATTAGGGAACAGATACAACACTGGCCTCTGAGTTGTCCTAGGAATGTCTTTTTTGTCTTTTGTCTATCCTTCTGTCCATTCCTGGGTGGCCTAGGGCAGGGTCCTAGGGCAACTGCTCATTAGAGGAGGGGGGGAGAGACAGAGTCTTTGATTTCAAAGTGCAAAGTCCATGGCCAGAGTCTTTCCAACGCCTCCCAGACCCTTAGGGGACACACCATGGCAGTGCCACTGACAAGTGACCCAGTTTCGTCGTCTTCGGGAGGCTTGTGAGCTTTGGCTTAGGGAAAATGAGCTTGTTCTGGGTTCCAGGGCAGAAAGTTAGCTTTGGGGTTGGGCTGTGGCCAGCTGGTCTGCATGTCCCAACTGGTGCTGGAGGCCAGCTTTCACTTCCTTTGGAAATCCCACGCACTTGGCCTCTGAGGTTTCCGCAATATGCATAGACCCTAAATTCCCCTGGGAGTTTTGGTTGACAGGTTTTCTGAGCAATGGATCAACTTCAGTAAGATGACAAAGTTAGAGCTTTCTGACCCAGGAGAGCAAAGGTTACAATCCCGAGAAGCCTAGCACCGAGAAACACAAAACACTGAGAACAGGTGTGTGAGTTAGAAACTATGTCTGTCCTCTCACCTGGACTTGGCATCAGAGGAGATTCGAGTGGTGTCATAGGCTCGAATCTCAGCTCTGCAGACAGCCCGGAGACCTTGGACAGACCCTGGACTGCGGCGTCTTGAGCTTAGGGTCCTCTGAGCCCTGTTGTCCATTCTGAGTCACTTCATAGATGCCCAGGTCTGTGTGAGGCCCCGTTAGAGACAAAGAGGGGAAGACGGGGGTGGTCCTTGCTTCCAAGGGCATGTGGAGACGTGGCCCCACCCACCAGATAAGACGGGAGCGTAGGAGAAGGAGATAAGGATGTGATTCAGGTCAATAAGCGCTGTAAGAATCAAAGGGTGTGATGTTGGTGCTTGAGGAGGACTTTCAGCAGAGCAGGAAGGGGACCTTGGAGGCAGGGGAGGTGGCAGAGGCCAAGGCACCTGGGGGGAGGGGTGTGGTTCATCCAAGGCAGTAGGAGGCACGGTTGGAGGCCGTAGGAGACTCTACAGATGCCCCACCCAGATCCCCATCAGCCACTCCCCAGAGCTGTGACTGTCTGCGGCTGCAGCCCCATAGCTACACCCTTCCCCAGAGAACTGCCTTTGGCTGACCAGGAGCCACCTGGTCATTACACCCCCAAGGGGTGGCCGGCAGCCAATGACGGGACAGTTACGAAGGCCCGCCCCCTTGCGTCCAGGTGGAACGGCTCTGTGGGGCCATTCACACTCCAGAGCCCCCATGGGGTCAGGCTGAAGTCAGACTTGAGCCACAAACAACTCTGCTTGGCTTCTTCACCTGCCCTATCCTGCTTCCCCCACTCCCTCACCGGTTTCCATCCTCTGGGTTCTCCCACAACACGTCATCTGCACAAAAGCCCCAACCTCCGATGCTGCCTCTAAGGAAGCCACCGACTAGGATCAGCACAGGCAGGGTTAAGGGGTCCTCGGATGCTGGAAGGTCTGGTATGTGGGCAGGCCAAATAGAAGGAAACCTGGCTCCTTCAAGCTGTTCCCACCTGTGCCACTTACTTTTTTTTTTTTTTTTTTGCGGTACGCGGGCCTCTCACTGTTGCAGCCTCTCCCGTCGCGGAGCACAGACTCTGGACGCGCAGGCTCAGCGGCCATGGCTCACAGGCCCAGCCGCTCCGCGGCATGTGGGATCCGCCCGGACCAGGGCACCAACCCGTGTCCCCTGCATCGGCAGGCGGACTCTCAACCACTGCGCCACCGGGGAAGCCCGCCACTTATTTTTAAAGTTCAGCAAGTCAAAGTGGCCCACCCCACTTTATCCTGGGTGCCCGCCCCACACAGAGAAGAATTTCTAATGGATTTGCTAATGGTACTGGAAGTTCTTCGGTTTAGCTAAAGAACAGGGGCAGGTATGATTCTGCTGCCCCAGAAACACCTCTGTTGGGGGATGGTCCATCTGCCGACCCCAGCGCAAGGGGGAGTGTCAGCCTCCTTGTCGGTGAAGGCGCTTAAAGGGAGAGAGACTGGTGAGGTGTTTCTTTCTTCACATGATCAGCCCCTCAGGAGGCATATGAGGAAGAAAGCCAATAGAAAGGAAAGGTCATCTCCTCCCTACATGCCCCCTTCTGTCTCCAAGCCACCTCCTTCCTTTCCCCATCTATTCCAAGTACCACCCACCAATTCAACTAAACATCCACCAGGTGCCGGGCACAGTTCTCGGCACTGGGATACGGCAGTGATCGCCACAGTGAGGGCCTGCTCTCAGAGACTTCACATTCTAGTCAGTGGAGGCTGGAAAAGGGAACTATATTAAACAGAAATAGTATTAACGACTATCAAGAATATACAGTAATGGCTTAGAGAGAGGCTGGCTCCTAGGGGGATGGGCCACCTTGGGCAGGGGTCAGGGAGGGCCTCTAGGAGCTAAGCCATCAGTGCTGAGAAGGTGTTGGTCCAGCAAAGATCTGGGGGAAGAGCATCCAGGCAGGGGGAACAACAAATAAGGAAGTCCTGGTGTGCATTGAATACGACGAACCTGGGAGATCCAGGGGGATCTCTGGGGAATCTCAGGTTGTTCTCCCTTTCGTCTGGTCCTTGCAAGGATGATCGTGGAGGGAGGAAATCGAATGTGTCTTCCTGAAGTTTCTACACCTTTACGCTGAGTGGCATTCTGACCAAGCAGAGCTCTCTGCTGGGGTATCCTCTCCTCTTCCAGACGGTGAGCTGGGTTTTCAATAGTAACCCAAGGCTTTCAGGTTGGAGCCCAGCCTTGTGTTCTCTTTTTAGTGCCTCGTGGCTTCGGACATCCTGGTCACTCCCTGTACTGGACCGCTGACTCCCACGTGCCAGGGATGATGAAACTTCCTGTTTGGATGCAAAGGCTTCAACTTCCTTCTCTTCGGAAACACATTGCAAACTTACAAACCGAAACTGTCCTATCAGCAAGGTAGGTCCAAAACACATCTTACAGCCAAGGGAACAGGGGCCTCCACCTCTTCTCCCAGGAGATGTGGAGCCAGACAACGTACTGATCAACCTTCCACCAGACTCCGGCCAAGCCTTCCCCCCAAGGCATGCTTCCCTCATGAGTCAGCTGGGCCCCAAAGCTGGCTTCCTTCCTCCACTGGCCTCTGGGCTGCCTGGTTACTGGCTTGGCTCATGACAATTTATTTTATTATATGGTCAGGAAGATGCTCAGGGGTCTCAGCAGGTCAGATGATGGGCTTAGGAACTTCGAGACACTTAGGAACTTCCCCAGACCCCACGTCAGGGAGACACCTGTCCCTCTGTTCTCTGCACCTGGCACCCCTCTGGCAGACAGGGGAGGGGGCTGGTGAGGGGCCAGGACACAGAGGAGGCTGGAAAGCGTGGCATGTGGGACACAGGGAGCAGTGTTCAGGGGAAGGAGATGGAGAGAGTGGGAGTGGCCGGGCGTCAGAGCGGGGCACTCAGATGATGTGGGCGCAACTTCCCGGGGCTCAAGGAGTGGGCAGAAGTCACTTTATTGTAATAAGGAACAGCCTGATTCTGCTGCAGCCCAGCAGAGGAAGGGGCTACCCCAGGTGGCCAGCCCCGCCCCTCAACCACGCTGAGCCTCAGGTTCTCAGGCCCGACGGGGCCATCCAGGAGAGCCGGTGGTCCTGGATCTCGACGAGGCCCATACTCGGGGCAGGCTGGGCTAGAACCACACAACCTGGGCAGCTCCGCCCTCCACACACATCTGAGGGCGGGACATGCTTCCGTAGCATTCCCCGCTTCCCATGAAAGTAAATCTCAAAAACAGCTGTGGGGCTGGCAAACAGGACCCACAGCCGCCATTGTTCTTTACTGAACCAAAGTGCTACCAACACTGAGAATCACTGCCTACCAGGATTTCTAGGGTCACTTTAACTCTTAAACAATGTCTGATTCTGTGAACCTGGGACTTCAAGGTCAACTTGGAGGGCTAAGGGAAGCACAGGAGTCGGAGCTACTAAGCCAGGAATGGCTGTCTGATGGTGGGGAGAGAGGTCGCAAAATCTAGGGCATATGAATAATAATATTGTGGGGCTCTTGCCTATAAGTCACTTTATACGGTGTCAACACACACATCAACCCTCCCAGAGACCCCCGTGCAGTGAGTGGAGCAGGTATGACATCATGCAGGTATCCGGGTGTGGGAGGAAGCGTACCGCGGCTTCCACTTCCTGTGGCCCTACCCTGTGCTCTAGAGCCCGCGAGCCACGACTACTGAGCCCACGTGCCGCAACTGCTGACGCCCACGCGCCTCGAGCCCGTGCTCTGCAACAAGAGAAGCCACCGCAATGAGAAGACCGCGCACCGCAACGAAGAGTAGCCCCCGCTCGCCGCAACTAGAGAAAGCCCGCGCGCAGCAACAAAGACCCAACGCAGCCAAAATAAATAACAAATAATTTTTTTTAAAAAAAGGTTAGAGCTTAACTTATCATTAAAGGCTTGTCCCCTGGGCCTCTCCTCCTCCTAGAACTTGTATTTCTGGCCAGCAGAGTTTTGACAACAGACACTGACTTACTGAAGCAGATGTGTTGACCACTGCTCAGAAAACAAGACCCACTCTTCTTTTCGTGATGTTTTTAGCTCTCAGAACATCTGTTCTTATCTCCCCAAAGAAACAAGAACAGTGTATTGATTCTCTTCCCCCCCAGCACAGAGCATGGTATTTGCTACAAAGTAGAAGTTAAGTAGATATTGATAAGATGAGTGGGTGGATAGGTGATAAATGGTCGTTCTGTCTTTTGTTTAAAGAAATGATCCTTTAAGGGCCACCATTAGCCAAGCACTAGATTCTCTCCGGGGCCCCAGCTCTGTAGTAAGGATAGAATATTTGGTCCCACCCATACCTTCCCCAGGGGCAGAATAGGGACCACCTACTTCCAGAGAGCTCTCCTCTCTGAAGGTCATTCTCCAGAAACAGCTCTTTATCTGCAGAGTCTGGGTTAGTGTGAATTTGGCCCCCATAGATCTCCCTCTCAGAGCATTTGCCTCCAAAGCTTGACCTCTGAGCCTAGAGGAAAGGGCTTTGTTGTCAGGTGGGAGCCTTCCCCAAGGATGATCTTGGCAAGGAGGGTCCTAAGCAGTGGTGAATGAGATAAAGTGATTCCCCTTGACAACAAAGTTCAAAATCCAGAAACAGTCCCAGTTGCCTATGGAAAGCTTGTATATGATAAAGGCAGCATCACAAATTGTGGGGAAAGCATGGGTGACTTAACAGTTAGTGTTAGGAGGGACTTCCCTGGCGGTCCAGTGGTTAAGACTCCACGCTCCCAATGCAGGGGGCATGGGTTCCATCCCTGGTCAGGGAACTAAGATCCCGTATTCTGCATGACGGCCTAAAAAACAAACACACACACACACACACACACACACACACACACACATACAAAAAAAAAAAAACAGTTAGTGTTAGGATAACTGGAGAGCCTTGTGGAATCAGAAACAGTTGGTGGCATTCCTCTTGTATTACCAGGACACATTCCAAAAAAACTGGAGATTTCAGTATAAAAATGAAACCATGCAAGCACTAAAGGGAAACATGGGTAAATCCTTCTGTAATTTGGGACCAGAGAAATCTTTCCTGATTCTGACTCAACATCCAGAAGCAATAGGGGAAGATTAGTAAGTTTCATGGAATTGACGTTTTTCTACGCGGCCAAAAAAAATTTTTTTTAATTTAAATAAATAAGTAAATAAAATTTTAAAAGACAAATGACAGACTGGTAAAAAAAAAAGGTTCACAACTACAACACAAAAGAGTTAACGTTCTTAGAATAAATATAAAGTGCTTCTAATACAAATTAAAAGGTCAACTATCTGTGAGAAAGATGCACTAAAAATATAAACAGTTTACAGGAAAAGAAAAGCAAATAAATATTTCAAAACTATACGAAAAGATGTTCAACCACACTTGTAATTAAAGAAATGCAAATTGCTCCAAGGAACTGTTTCTTGCTGATCAGATTGGCAAAAATCCAAAAGTTTAACAAATACTCCCTTCTCTAGGCTGTGAGAAAACAGACATTCTCACACTTTGCTGGTGGGAATGTAACCGTCCTGATGGAAGGGAATTTGGCAATACTTGCGTGTGTATTTGCCCTTTGATCCTGCAATCCCACTTCTAGGAATCTGTCTTAAAGATTCACTGCAAACAGTACAAAAAACACAGGGACAAGGCTATTTATTGCAGCTCTATTTGTAATAGCCTAAGCCTGGAAAAAAAGCCAAATGCCCATCAATAAGTCCCAGCAGAATAAACAATAGTATATCCACACAATGGAATACTTCGGAGCCATAAAAAGAATGAGGAATGTTCCTCAAAGAATTAAAAATAGAATGACCATATGACCCAGCAATTTCACTTCCGGATATATACTAAAAAGCAGGGTCTCGAAGGGACCCTGTGTTCACACAGCATTATTCACAATAGCTAAAACACGGAAGCAACCCAAGTGTCCACTGATGGATGAATGGATAAGCAAAATGTGGTCTATACATACAGCGGAATATTATTCAGCCTTAAAAGCAAAGGAAAATCTGCTACATGGATGAACCTTGAGGACATTATGCTACATGAAATACAGGATCACAAAGAGATCTCTGCAGGACTTCCCTGGTAGTCCAGTGGTTAAGACTCCACGCTCCCAATTCAGGGGGCCCGGGTTCAATCCCTGGTCGAGGAACTAAGATCCCACCTACCGCAACTAAGCCCACGCACCATAACTAGAGAAGCCCACACGCCACAATGAAGACCCAGCTCAGTCTAAATAAATAAATACAATTAAGAATATTAAAAAAAAAAAGATATCTGCACTCCCATGTTCAGTGCAGCATTATTCACAATAGCCATGAAATAGAAGCACCCTAAATGCCTATGAATAGATGAATGGATAAAGAAAATGTGGCATAGACACACAATGGGATATTATTCAGCCTTAAAAAAAGCGGAAAACTCTCTCATCTGCACAATGCGGATGAGCCTGGAGGAAGCTGTACTAAGTGAAATAAACCAGTCACAAAAAGACAATTTCCGCATGATTCCACTTACGTGGGGGCACCTAGAGTCATCAAACTCATAGAAACAGGAAGTAGAACGGTGGGTGCCAGGGTCTGGGGGGAAGGGGAAGCAAGGAGCTATTCAATGTGTGTCAAGTTTCAGTCATTTAAGATGAAAAGTTCATGAGATCTGTTATACAACCATGTGCATTTAGGTAACAGTATTTTCACGTATACTTTAAACAACGATAAATTCCTGTCATGTTTTTTTAAATTTTTTTATTTTAATAGATCTTTATTGGAGTATAATTGCTTCACAATACCATGTTAGTTTCTGTTGCACAACAAAGCATGTCAGCCATATGCATACACATGTCTCCATATGCCCTCCCTCTTGAGCCTCCCTCCCATCCTCCCTATCCCACCCCTCTAGGTCATCACAAAGCACCAAGCCTATCTCCCTGTGCTATGCGGCTGCTTCCCACCAGCCAACTATTTTACATTCGGTAGTGTAGGCATGTTGATGCTACTCTCACTTTGCCCCAGCTTTCCCCTCCCACCCCATGTCCTCAAGTCCATTCTCTATGTCTACCTCTTTATTCCTGCCCTGCAACTAGGTTCATCAGAACCAATTTTTTTTTTTTTAGATTCCGTATATATGTGTTAACATATGGTATTTGTTTTTCTTTTTCTGAATTACTTCACTCTGTATGACAGACTCTAGGTCCATCCACCTCAGTACAAATAACTCAATTACGTTTATTTTTATGGCTGAGTAATATTCCATTGTATATAGGTGCCACATCTTCTTTATCCATTCATCTGTTGATGGACACTTAGGTTGCTTCCATGTCCTGGCTACTGTAAATACACCTGCAATGAACATTGTGGTACATGACTCTTTTTGAATTATGGTTTTCTCAGGGTTTATGCCCAGTAGTGGGATTGCTGGGTCATATGGTAGTGCTATTTTTAGTTTTTTAAGGAACCTCCATACTGTTTTCCACAGAGATTGTATCAATTTACATTCCCACCAACAGTGCAGGAGGGTTCCCTTTTCACCACACCTTTTCCAGCATTTACTGTTTCTAGATTTTTTGATAATGGCCATTCTAACCAGTGTGAGGTGATACCTCATTGTAGTTTTTTGTTGTTGTTGTTTTTTGCAGTACGCGGGCCTCTCACTGCTGCGGCCTCTCCCGTTGCGGAGCACAGGCTCCGGACGCGCAGGCCCAGCGGCCATGGCTCACGGGCCCAGCCGCTCCGCGGCATGTGGGATCCTCCCGGACCGCGGCACGAACCCGTGTCCCCTGCATCGGCAGGCGGACTCTCAATCACTGCACCACCAGGGAAGCCTGGATTGTTTGTTTTTTTTATATTGAGCTACATGAGCTGTTTGGATATTTTGGAGATTAATCCTTTGTCTGTTTCATTTGCAAATATTTTCTCCCATTCTGAGGGTTGTCTTTTTGTCTTGTTTATGGTTTCCTTTGCTATGCAAAAGCTTTAAAGTTTAATTAAGTCCCATTTATTTATTTTTGTTTTTATTTCCATTACTCTAGGAGGTGGGTCAAAAATATCTTGCTGTGGCTTATATAAAAGAGTGTTTTCCTATGTTTTCCTCTCAGAGTTTTATAGTGTCTGTTCTTACATTTAAGTCTAATCCATTTGGAATTTATTTTTTTTTAATGGTGTTAGGTAGCACTCTAATTTTATTCTTTTGCATGTGGCTGTCCAGTTTT